GATGTTTGGGAGTTATTATTGCTTAAACATCCATTATCCAATACAACTGGCCTCAACTCTGGAGTTTCTGCAGAGGTATATGCCTTTTTGAATATTAACCTCTTAACCCCCACCTGATCAAACTACATTTTCTCCAGTTTGGTTTTACCCAAATCTAAAATTGGATAAAAGCACAACAAAGAAATCCACAAAAGCTCAACATAATAGAAACATGTATCTTTTTTCAGTTTTTGTTGCTGTTCTTTTTTCCCCAGAAGGTATTACATTTGGGTAAAATCAAACTGGAGAAAATGCAGCACAAGTGTTGATCCACAAGATCAACACTTGATTCAGACACATGGGCTGTAGTTAGAGGACCTCCATAAGTATTCAGTGAATCCTACATGTGTTCATTTTGTAATGTGGGAGGAAACATGTAAGCAGCTAGGACTTTAACACTAGGAGCGCCCCTAGCGGTCAACTGACCGTCACTCACTTTAATATGCTAATTAGTGTATTCAAAACAAAACGCCAGAAGTTGAAATTTTATGACTTTTACTGGGTACTTGTTGTTTATATTTTGGTGTGTTTTGTTTTTGGAAAAAGTAAAGAAAACAAGATTTACACGCATTTTAACTTTTCTAAACCACAGCCCTTTCTGCTGCCCCATAGGGATACATGGCGCAGGGGCGACTGTTGTCATAGTAACCTTTCCCGGGGGTTTTTCGCGCTTTATACAAATGTATCAATATGTTGTCATTAGACTCTAAAGGGACTTGAGGTTTTTATTTGGGAGAGAGAAAGAGTTTTGAATTGAGAGGAGTACAACATGAATAGAGCTGCAAGTACACGGTATGAAGCCCAGACAGTGCTTCAAGACATTGAATGAGAACAGTCTGACGGAGGTGAGATGTCACAGCGGGGAGAACACTTATAATATTCTAAATCTGAACGTAAACCCGTAGTGCATTCACGGCACGGACAGCAGTGTTGGAACAAGTCCAGAAGCAATAACGCACATGACCCGCGTAATGCCAGCCATACGCAGGTGTCTGTGTGCGCGCTGTTGCTCCATTCTGCCTTTTCATTCATCATCAATTACATTCTTATATTTATACATAGAAGAAGGCAATAAAGCAGAATACAATATCGCAATAAAATAGAACAATTAGATGAACTATCAAGGCAGAGTGCAGATGGAGCGCTGTGAGGCCTCTCGTCACCCGCGGACACCTGCAGGAGGAGAGCGACTGTGGGTCAGAAGCGGCCCTCATCATATCAATAAGGATATCTTTCTTATTTCATTCAGATAACACTGTGTGTTATTCTGCACAGCACGCACTGCAAGGCAATGATTATAATTTTCTTCTGATCATAAAGAGCACTGCTTGTCTCAAATAAATACAAATATATATATATAACGTGTCCCGTGTAAAATTGAAGATTGTACATTGACGATGGTAGCCTAGCTGATGATCTTGTGTCAATACGAATACTATTATTATTATCGAGATAATATTTCCCACAGTGATTTCGGCTGGAAAGAGAAAACAGTCTGGAGATGACGTAAGAAGTAGACGCATATAGCAGCGCGAAGACGTTATGGTCCCGTGCTTTTCTAAACTATCATTTATATTGTTTGAATTGACATATTGTTACTGAGTCAAATTTAACATATAGTGACCGACCTTTTACGTGTTTGCAAAGTTACAAAATAAATCTAGCCAGAAAAGTCTTCGTAATTTTTTTTTATTTCGGCTGGAATAACAATTACTTAGCACATTTAGACAAATAATTTACAGTTTCATTATGATCACGATTTCCTTGCAACAACAAATTCTGGTTTAGTGAACAATCAATTTGGCAAAAGGCTGTATCAGTGCAAAATACATAGCGGTCAACTGACCGCAGGGGGCGGTGCAAGGTATGTTTAGAGCACGGCGGTCCTAGTGTTAAGGAATAGGCCACCGTTTTTACACACTGACATATGCTCTGTCATGCAAACTGAGCACAAACACAGCCTCTTCCACAGACTGTATAGTTCCAAATCAGCTCCCGTTAGAAGCTCCCAAACTCCTCCACGTGTTCCCTATTTAAATACAGTTACGTGACGTGTTACACTACAAAGTATAGTAATAATACGAGGAGCACTACGTCCATGCACTAACTCCCAAGACTTCTCTCCCGCTCACTTCCGTCAATAGCAGCGTGAGCGGGAGAGAAGTCTTGGGAGTTAGTGCGTGGACGTAGCGCTCATTGTGCTCCTTGTATTATTACGCCTCACAATATAGTGCCCCTTTTTATCCGCTGAGAAAATCGACATGTTACATTTCTGTGTTACTGTACTTGGTAGTGTAACACGTCATGTAACTTTATTTAAATAGGGAACACGTGGAAGAGTTTGGTAGCTTCTAACGGGAGCTGATTTGTTACTATACACTCTGTGGAAGAGGCTGCGTTTGTGCTCCGTTTGCATGACAGAGCACATGGACACAGACCAGACAGGTACATATCAGTCTAAGGTAAGAACATATGTCAGTATGTAAACACGGTGGCCTATTCCTTTAACCCATGACCTGTGTTTGACTGCTTAGCTCTGCACCACTGTGATGCAGAGCTAAGCAGTTTGTATTGCAGCACATTTGTATTTTAAATGTAATTTTAAAAAAAATATATTTCAGGTGTTTTTTTCTCCATCAACCCAGAGAAGGGAACCAAAGTGGAGAAAAGCAAAACCAAACGTCTTAATGTGAACCCCAGAGTCCTTACCTTGATTCAAGAACTTTCAGATCATGAGTGGTGTAATGTCTGAATATGGACTGAAATAAGTAAGGTTTGTGGGCTGCGATGGAGTTTTATATTGTTGTGACGTTCAATGTTTCAAATTTGTTCTTCAGCTCTTAAATTAAGCTTAAACCCACATGTATTTTCTGTTAAAGGAATAGTTAAGTTTTTCCTTACTGAAATGTTCTTACCTTAGGTTAGCCCAGCTGATGTGTACCTTTTGTTCTTTGTGTAATGTCACATCTGAGACATTTGAAGCTAGCGAGCTCTGCCATGTTTATTCTATTTTTAAATTCAGTGACGTGAAGTGTAGTTACACAGAATTTAAACATTGATTTTCTAAGCGGAATAAAAATAACTTATGTTGTGAGGCGGAATAATACGAGGAGTACTTCCACACACAACGCTTCAAAGACTTCTCTCATGCTCACTTCAATCAATAAAAGGAAAAAATGGAAATTAATAACTGCTTGACCCCAGTCTGAGCTAGTCACGCTGTTTTTTTATTTCTATAGTTTCTATTGACTGAAGTGGGCGGGAGAGAAGTCTTTAGGAGTTGTACGCGATACAAGTGCCCCTTATATTATTCGGCCACACAACATGGGTCCTCCTTTTTATCTGCATAAAAAATCAACTTAGTTTAAATTAAATTAAATGGCTTGCGTAATGGCTTGGATCAGATTGCATCATACAAGCCAAAAAAGTCTTATGTTTTAATTATTTTTGGATGGAGATAAGCATATTTGAGAATATTTTATTTGACATTAGTGTTTTACAGTGAAATATTTTGACATTTGTTTAAAACGGTCTTAGTATTGACTTTTGGCACTGTAGTGTTGTCACTGAATATACAGTAAAGTTTCATTTTCATTTATTTTGTGAAATGACTCATTTAATGCAGCTTTTAGGTTTATTTGTGTAGCACAATTCATACACAAGGAAACTCAAAGTGCTGAACAAAAGAAAGCATTAAATAGTCACAGTACATTAACAAAGATAAATATAAAATCCCTCAGTTGTAGCACAGCTAAAGTGAGACAGGCCTCTTCTCTGACAATGTTTAAAACCAGGTTAAAAACAGTTCTGTTTAGCTGTGCTACAACTGAGGGATTTTATATTTATCTTTTTTAATGTACTGTGATTATTTATTTTAATGCTTTCTTATTTTGCTCAGCACTTCGAGTTGCCTTGTGTATGAATTGTGCTAGACAAATAAACTTGCCTTGCCATCGTACTTCCTGGTTCTGGTTAGGACTTGAGCTGCTGCATTTTGAATGTACTGCAGCTGCTGTTGCAGTAGTCTAACCTACTGGAGACAAATGCATGGATAAGAATCTCCAGGTCTGCTTTAGACACTATGTTTTTGATCCTGGCAATGTTTAGATGGGAAAAAAGATTTGATGTGGCTAATAATATTTACTGATTCTTTCAGCTGGTGGAATCGAGACTGAGTGTGCTAGAAAGTGACAAAGTGGAACTCTGGAAGTCCGCCACGGTAGACCTAATGTCTAATGAAGAAGGCGTTGTGGACGGTGTCTCTGGGTGGATTGTCTTTTCGAAAGCCGGAGTTTTCTGAACTCTGTGTCAAGCTGCAGTCCCGGTTAGAGGCGGCACGGAAGTACAGAGCCACGCACATTAAGCGTCTATCTAGAACGCTGCCAAATTACAACCCAGAGGAGGCTATTTGGACAGTTCAGAGTTGTAATTTTTTAATTACCTATGTGTGAGCATAAAGCTGTGTGTGTGGATTAATAAAGCTTTCTTTGTATGAACATATTCCTGGAAAATTTTCATTTCCTCTATAAATAATATGAATAAATATATATATGAATATTATTTAATTAATTATGAGGCAGGGTGACCAATAGTGACAGATCTGCTAGCCAATCCCGAGAGATTATACTTATTTGAAAGTAGTGATTTCATCCAATGGGGAGTAAGCTACCAATCGGGAGTAATCCCACGTGGGCTGGCCACGTGTGATTTTTCAGCCAATCACGAGTTTGAAAGTAGTGGTATCCACCAATGCTGAATAGCAGCCTGGCCAGCCGCTGCATTCATATGCTAATTAGGACCATTAGCCTCGGCCGGCCGCAGTGTTTCGCTGCATTCATATGCAAAGTTTGATACGGCAGTTTGGAGGACAGGGCACCCTAACTGCGCCTTTTGAAAACTGCCTGAGATACACGAAAAAGAGCGTGATTTCCTGCCGTTTAGGGTGACGAAAATCTAACTTTTCATGCAGTGGCGCTGACAGCAGGGAGAAGTTGCTTCGGAGGTGGATGCGCTGGCGGGAGCCGTTTACCGTCATATAAATCCCTTTCCCCATCCTCCGCATCTACAGCGGCTGGCCAGGTTATGTTAAGCTTGGCGGCAGCGCGCTTGCACACATCATATAGGCTGCTATCGACGGGAGTCGCAGCCTCAGATGCGCTGGAGGGTCGGGACTGGGCCGCTGGGAATGTAGAGTCCTCCTCCACATCTTCCATATCCACAGCCTCGAGGAAGTCAGAAGCGGCATCATCGCCGTCTGCGCCCTCGTCGCCTGGGTCCACTTCGAGCAGATCCTCGAATAATGGCGGCATATCACCGTCATCGTCATTCAGCATATCTGACCATAGTTCAGTCTTGCGGGGCTGTTGAGTGACGGCTGTGGGTTTATCGGTGGTCCCCGCCAGCAACGGGTCCTGGGGATGAGCCACCGCAACTCTGAGCCTCCTCTCCAATATTTTCTCAGGCATAGATGAGCAGTACCCGCAGGACTCGCGGTCAGCGAGCGCTGCCTGAGCGTGTTTAGCGCTGTGAATATTTAATTACTGTTTTCTGTTAAAGTATCATGTTAAACAGTTCAATAAGAGTTTAAAAGGCTACACTGTACTTTAAACTGCTTACAAAAGCATGGAACAGATAAAGTATTGATGTACATAACATGAGATAATGCTATCTCAACCCATGCAGGTTATGCACATCGGGTGAGGGTCCCTGCCTGAGATGGCAGACCCGCATGACGCAGGGCATGAGCGGGATGCAGCCTCTTTCGGCTTCGGATCCGACCCTTTGGCGGGGGTGGTAGCCGTAGACATGCCTGACAGAGAGCAGAGCTGGAGTGAGCACGATTGTATGAACCAGACAATTCGGGTTTTAAGTCGAAAAATCAGGTCCAGGCAGATTCTGTTCGCCACAACACGTTAACAGAACCGCGCACTACAATCTGTTGGCCAGTAAATTAATACTAACCAACCGAACAGAAGGACTCCGCTTTACGCGAGAGCCCTGGGTTAACAAGTGAATGCTAACCGCAAGGTGACAGGACAGACCGCAACTTAATGTGATCTGTCCCCGTAAACACAAGAGCAGTTCGCCTTGACGCGGTCACTGCTCCGGTAACAAAATAATAATAGCTTAGCGGTAAGACTGTAAGGACTTACCCAGCGTCGGTGAACCAAAGCACCAGCAACTGCGCTCGCCAACAAAATCCTTTACGGCTCGTCTGTGAACTGTTAAGCAGAAGCTAGCCTAAGGTCCGAGAACGCTGAAGGAGCTAAAAGATATGGTTTCCACGCGGGAAGAAAGCGAGAATGATTCCAAAAGGAGGAGGTTGACTGTACCAGGGTAGGTGGGCGGTGCTAGGTACTGTCAACCTGTCTGTCAAAAGACAGACGTGGTGCCATTGGAGCTTCCATGGATGGTCACGCCCAAGGCGATTCCCATAGTGAAACACCAAACGAAGTTAGAAAAAGAACCTGTGGCTGATTTTAGAACCACCCTCCAAAACCTGAAGTTTGGCAGGGGGCGGCATGGGGGAGAGACGGGGAAGAGACGGGGGAGCAGGCAAGACCCGCACGTGCAACAACCTGGGGATGGGGATGATCGCGTGTCTATGGTTCTGTGCGTGCGTGACTGGTTTGCGGAGCTGTCAAAGCGGCCACAGTTTCTCCCGGGGTCAGAACGGAGGATGTACTGTAATTGCACCACGCTCCCATAGGGAGGAGCGGCCCACTATTTGAGAAGGACTGGTCCATGTGAAGTACGCAAAAGCGCTTACTAACTCAAGTGATAGTACGCATTTCTGATATTTGTGGCGCATGCGTACCACTTATGTGAACCACTGTTTATAGCATTTCATTGTGTTTTTTCAATAAATGTTTGTGAAATTGATTTTCTGTTTCATTTTTTTCTTTGTCTTCATGATTCCATAATTTTATATAATTGATATGACAGCTCTACAATATGAATATTCTAAAACCCCAGGTTGTACAAAAAAAACAAAACAAAGTATACTGCTTGACACTGCGTCAAAAGATGACTGTTTTATGAGCAATTATACAAAAAGAAAACCAGGCGAGGAAAATGGCCACCTAATGCTAAACGCACCAGTCCCTCGCTGATCCTCTGCAGGTGGTGAGTCCACAGGAAGATGGCTGCTACATCAGTGGTGCCACAGCCTTGGTGTTTCAGCGGGAGCTTCAGGCAATGTGGGGTAAAGTGTCTTGCCCAAGGACACAACAACAGCAGACATTAGTGGGAGTAGTTGGAGTAGGTCCCATGATGGGTTAGAACCCACAACCTTCCGGCCCAATGGCCAACGCTCTACCAACTGAGCTACTGTCATCCCTCAAAACAGTGAAAAATACAAAATATTTGTTACGGAACACATTTGGAAGACTCCTGGGTTCGGACCAGGGCCTTTCTGAGTGGAGTTTGCATGTTCTCCCTGTGTCTGCGTAGGTTTCCTCCGGGCACTCCGGTTTCCCCTACCACTAAATATATGTACAATAGGTCTGGCATGCGCCTCCTGTACTGGCGACCCCGCTCCCATCTCTGTGTGGAGTGAGAGACAAATGCCCAAAAATATCAATTGTAAACCACTTTGTGACTCTGGTCTGTGAAAAGCGGTATATAAATAAACATTACTTACTTACTTATAATCTGCAATACATGACACTATATTGCAAACGTTTTGAAACTGTGGTGGAATCAACACCAACATAAAAAGCTGATTTAAAAGGGACCTAATCTTATTTTGTTGGAATATTGTGGTCTTTTTTGTGTTAAATTGACAGATAGTTTCACCCTTAGCGGTGTCTATCAATAATTATCATGCAAAAAGACATTCACGGAAAAAATGCCGAGACCGGAAGTGACGGTCTCATAGGGGTCTAGGGGCTTTGTGAATATGCATTTGTAAGCCATAACGTTGTATCCGGACGTTTAGATATTTGTTGTTCAGTGATGAACAATACAAGTCAGGGGTTTTTATGAGCCCTTGCGTACTTGTTATGACAGTAATTCTGATTTTGAGGACTTTGACTCAGTTCAGATGAGGAGCAAGCTTCAAGAACATTAGGGCCTTTTCCACGGGCTGGAGTCATGGATCTATGGTCCGACCGGGTCCGACCTGTCTCGACCCAGTTTGAGCTCGATGGTGCCACCCGAGTGAGTGTAAATAGCTTAAGTGTTAGTGAAGGTAGCGCCAGGGACAAAGGAATATCACGGACATCGCAGTGCAGAGAAAAGTTAAGAAGCGTAAAAGTGACTACCGTGAAATGAAATATCTCAGCCGTAAAAGTGGACAGAACTGAAAAGTCTGGAGGTGGTTTGACAAGATGGATTATTTTTACATTTTACATTATTTTTTTATCAGCTAACACGCTAACACCAGCTAACACGTCAATACCCACAACTCCGAGAGAGAAGCCTCAACTCTATGTCGCAGCTCCAGATGTTGAGTTTGAGAGAAATGGTGACTGTCTTCAATCAAATACACAATACAATACAATACAATTTATTCTTGTATAGCCCTAGGTCACAACAGAAGTCATCTCAGAGGACTTAACAAAACCATTGAAATCACCAACACAGGTCAGAGAATCAACAGTTAAAACACATGAAGAATATAAAGCACACACAGAAGAAAATGTCCATACATGTTGTAGAATGCTAAAGTGTCCTGATCATCACCAATCCTTTCTGTTGGACACTAACTGTCCAACAAGACCCTCCTGCATCGACAAGGAAAAACTCTTAAAAAACCCAGTGGGAAAAAGTGAGAAACCTTGGAGGAGAACTAGGGAAACCCACAGGGAGGGAGACCCATATGAGAAAGGGATCCGCTCCTCCGGACGGACAGGCTAATGATCTAGGACCTAAGCTAGCTACAGAACGTGGACCAGTGGACGCTGAACGTGGACAGGTCCGGTGCAGGACTGAAGCACTCCCAGGCGGGTCGGGCGGGGCAGTCCGCAGGTGTAGATGGAAGAGGCCAGGCTCAGAGATCCCGTCATCGTACCATGAAACAGACAATGGGACAACGGGTGAATAGCAATGAACAAACTACAGTCAGAATCCTAAAAATGCTAAACAGATAAAGTAGGAAGGAGGAGAGGATAGTGCTCAAGTTACCATACTTCTCCCAGCAAACTGACTCCCTATGCAGCTTGACTAACACTCTGAGGAGTTTAACCTTCTCCGAGTCTTACCTTCCTAGCCATATGCTAAACTAAAGAGGACTGTTTTAAACCTAGCCTTGAATAAAGAATAACATACAGCATAATATATAACATAATATACAACATAACACAATACATTATTGAATAATATATAACATAATATATAACATAATACAGCATATATATATAATATATACACTACATATTATATATTACCTAATTATATGCTAAATTAAAGTAAAGTGCTTTAAGCCTGGCCTTGAATGTGGAGACCGTATCTGCTTCCTTAACATAAATGGGAAGCTGATTCCACAGTAAAGGAGCTTGGTAGCTAAATGCTCTGCCACCAACTGTATACATTTTTTTGTATTTTGTATTTGTATACTGTATACAAACATACAGTATAGCGTTATGGTCTTATTCTGAACATGTGTCTGTGGTTCTAAAGTCTTATACTAAACGTGTGTCTGTGGTTCTAAAGTCTTATACTAAACGTGTGTCTGTGGTTTTAAAGTCTAAAACATGATGGTATGTGTCATATCCATATCTTTTACTAAACGTAGTTAGAGTGAAACATGGATTCATGGTTCAATGACAGTTGTGTTTTCTGCTCAATACAGGGTTGAAACTCGTAAACTTGGTTTTAGTTGGAGCTTGATAGAACTAATTTCATGGAACTCGCGCTGGTGTGTTCTCTCAGTTTGTTTGGACCGTTGCCTTCTCTGAATAAGTCAAAGATTGTAGGGACTGCTGTTTACACTCTTCTTTTGGTAACTTTCATTGCTGCATCCCGGGGCCATACAAAATACACCCATTTTAAGGTTTATTTGTGTCAAAGCGGCAGCAGGAGCAATGCCATAAACAGTAAGGCGGGAGCTGCGACCCCTACAAGTACGTCATCATTTTTCTGGCCAATCAGAGACGTTGATATTAAAAAGTTATCTTACTGATTTAAAAAAAAAATAAGGATAGCCCCCATTTTAAGTTTGAGATGTGGGGAAACAACATTAAAAAGGGCCATCAGAATAGAAAAGGTTGGTAGCCCAGTCAACAACTATATTACTTTTCTGAAGAGCAGATTCAGAAAGTTCAACTTGAGTGAATTAATTAGCGTTTTGCAGTTAGATTATTGTATAACAAATTTTGAGAACATGATTTTAAATCCATTTCATGACACATACAGTATATACATGTACATGGTATATGGTACATGTATAGGGGTGCTCTATTGCTTGCTCACGACTCCGAGAGCAAGCAGTGTCTTTGTTTTCTGTTGAAGGTGTGTCTTGTTG